AATAAAAATTTTAAAATTATATCTTGTTTAAAAAAATTAGAATGTGCAGAAATTTGAAAGTAATCATAAAACTATGTTGGCAAATTTATATTCTTGTCTTTGATTGGGTGAGAAGAAATTGTTTATTTTTCTTTATGACAAAAATCAAACATGCAGAAATTGTGTTTTTAGGTATGTGCAAAGTCTGCAGGAGATCCTTGATTTTAAAGACAAAAATGCTGATGATGCAGAAGCTGTTTCTTGGTGAGACATTTCGGCCTTCTCAAAGACAATCGATTATCTAAGTTTTTTTTATGCCAGTCCTGTAGCATGAGACATTCAGAGCCATAGTTTTATTATATTTGTTTTATTATATAGATCTCAAAAATAGTGGGATATTAAGTATGAAGAAAAATTTCTTTTAAATAATTTATTCTTTGTAAGTTATCAGGGGGGGGGCTGTCTAAAAATAATAAACTTACAAAATAAATTCCACTCTTTGTAATTCATTTAGAATTACTTCTGTATTAAAATTAGCAAGGTTTGACGTACATGTACAATCAATGTTTCTTAATTCAATTGATTAGTCTTTAATTAATTTTTCTTTAAGGTTTATTAATAATGAAGTGTTATAGTCTTATTTTGAGTTTACCCATTGAAATTAGTGGATTTGTGTAGAATTCAAGTAACTTAATGTTAATGGCTCTGCTTCAATTTACTAGTTTCAGATTCAACCACAATACCATTGTTCTGTCCAAAGCCCAATGACAGACATTCATCCTTAAGAAAAATTCTTACTGAGATTTAGGTTGTAATCAATTGTTACTGCTATTGTCATGTATTTATAGTGTATTGGGGCATGCTAGCTGTGAAGAGATTAAATTAAGTTATTTTCCAAGGAAATGGCCCTTCTTAGGGTACATAATCTCTCAGATGAGATAGATTAGGAGGACAGTTTTATCTGTTAGAACTTGAACAGCTGCTGAGCTGAAAAATTCTAATGATGTTTTGTGTTAAAAGAATTGTGAGATGGACTTTGAAGGAAGAAATAGTGGACTGAAGGCAGCTCTGTGAAAAACAAGGGGACCAACAACTATAGCAAAGAATGTAGACTGCTCTTTGGATTTTTATGTCAAAAGAAGATGGGAGATCACCCATAAATACTCCAGATAGTTGATCCTTGTGAGGAGTGCTTTGAGCATGGGGGGATGAGGAAATAGCCATCTTGCTCTAACCAGAATTGGTGTCTTTAAAAGGACACTAAGTTTCCATGTTTCCTTTACTAATCCTATTCCAAAATTGCTTATTAACTACTTTGCACATATTAGAAATTGGATCAACAAGTCTAAAAATACTGTGTGACTGCTTTCAGCCCTTATTGGAAGAACATTTTAAATCTTAACTAGTTAAGAAGCTTATTTTTTTTAAGCTTGAGAACTGAAAATAATTGAAATAAACAGCAAAAAGCTAATTAAGATTTTGATTTTAGAAAAGTATAAATGGATTAGGAGTTCAGATAAATTTGAAGTAAGATTTGGAATTAATTACAGAGTCCTTCCCGTGAGAAAGTCAACCTGTTTTGAATTTTCTCCACATGACAGAGGGGAAAAAAAATTGGACTTTTGAAAAAATAGAATTGGAAGTAAATACAGATGTTTGCTTCTATGGATAGATTGTGTCTGAAGGATGTTTTGGAAGAAATGATAGAACAGGAAGAAGTTTTATTTGACAAAGTGAAATTGAAAGTGCACTTTTGCTTTCTGTTAGCTTTCAAATTCCTGCTGACAGAGAAATATCGGCGACCTCTACAACCCACCACTATCATTTCTCCAAAACATAGAGAAAATATTCATAGGACTACTGAGAGAAAAAGAAATCGGTAAAAAAAACCTATGATAGTTGGAAACATCCTTGTGAGCTGAGGTCTATGCATTAAGTCTCAGCCAGTATTTCTTAAGTATCTAAACCAAAGCAGGACATAACATAAATATAGATGACCTAAAAATAATTATGACTATGCTATTAGAATACCTTGCGTTTCGAAGTCCAAAATCCATTTTAAAAGATTGCTTTCTTACATTGTTTTAAACACGACACAATTTTTGTTGATTAGTAGGATGCTTTCTTTAGTTTCTTGCTTTTGCGGTAGTTAAAATTAGATATGCTTTTAGTGACAGGTGTACTAGTATCTTAATACAAATATACCATACTTGCTTTCAGTTTTAAAGATACTGTGATAACAATCCGGAACCGCCACAATGATGTCATTCCTACCATGGCTCAAGGCGTGATTGAGTACAAGGACAACTATGGGGTTGACCCAGTGACTAGTCAGAATGTGCAGTATTTTTTAGATCGCTTCTTCATGAGCCGGATTTCAATCCGAATGTTGCTTAATCAGCACAGTAAGTACTTTTATTAACTTGATGAATTGTTTTTATGGAGTAAGGTCAGAAAACGTTTTAGAAGTGAAGGATTTCAATTAGATTTTGGTGAGCCAAGACTCACAGTGGGCATAACGCTGATATTGAGACTGCAAGCAGAGCTGGGGTTTTCTATTTTTTTCTTCTTAAGGCTTTGTGGGGAAGTTAAACTATTAATTTTTCTGCGACTCAAAATGGTAGGAAACAGTCCTTAGTTCTTCCAGATCAGAGAGGGGAATCTGGGGGCAATAAAAAAGGCCACAGGATAACAATCCCTAATGTAAAACAAGTGCAAATAGTTTACTTTTAAGAATAAAAAGGAATCTTCTGTATACATGGTATATAGTATAGCTTAGTATCATCTTTGTTTTAAATGGTAAATCCTTGTCTATTGTTTTTGTTCAGTCATTATCAGACCTCTACCTATAAATTATATGCTGTTCATGGCCTCTTTATTGTGAAATCATTTATGTTACTTTGTTTTTGTTGTTGGCAGCTTTGTTGTTTGGAGGAAACGTTGAAGTTAATCCAGCACATCCCAAGCACATTGGAAGTATTGACCCTAAATGCAATGTTGTCGATGTTATAAAAGGTACATTCAGACAGACATGGTGAGAAAAATTAATGTGGCACGAAACAGGCTTTCTGGGCTGATGACTTCGTGCAAGCTCATTCTGTCAGACATGGAAAGTTTCTATTCTGCTGAGACACAATGTTTACCCTTGAGATGTCATTCTGCGTGTAAAAAACAATACAATTTTATCCAATTTTTGTAATAATGACCTAGTATTTGAGAGACTTTTATTAGGTGTTCCTATTGCCATGCTGGTAGGAACCCACCCCTGATTCAATCCCTCCTCCATCATCTTAAATCCCTGCAACTACACATCCTATATGTATTTCTAGAATTCAAGATTACGGAGAGCCTCTCGGGGAGATGAGTGGTTCAAAAATGTGATGAATAGATAGATTTTTAAAAATGCAGCTGTTTGTCTAATTTTGCTTGGTTGAGTTTGTTGGGTTGAACGGGAGATAAGTAGGAAGTAATCAGTGGAGCCCCACCTTCCAACTACTGGAAAGCTTTGCCATCTGAGATTTGTACTGGACATCTTCCACATATTTTAAAGATATTAATATAGACTATGCAGGGGATAGATAAATGGTCTTATATTCATGCAGAGAATTTAAACATAGACATTGTTCTTGTTTAAGTGGCAATTGAAGTTAGACAGAAGTATGCAAGAGAAATGTCAGCTGCTATTCATAGAATAGCAGTAAAAGATGGAATGCGAATGACTGTTCCTTCTCAGAACTCTGTTTTAAGAACTGCTGCCAGCCCAATTGAATAAACTCTGGATGGGTGAGGTGTCTGTCTGTGTGTATTTGTGGGTATGCATGTGTCTTTGTGTGCATCTTTTAAGCAAAATTGTATTTCTTTTTTCAGATGGCTATGAAAATGCAAAGAGCCTCTGTGACTTATATTATATGAGTTCTCCAGAACTTATTCTTGAAGAGAAGAATGGTAAGCATGGAAAGGGGAGGATTGGCTTATTCATTGACTGTTCTCAACCAATTCCTAGCAAGTTTTACCATATCCCTCTACTTTGCCTTGGACTTAATTTAAATATTTCTGTAACAGTAGATAGTTTTTAAGTTGGTTATAGAACTAGCCTGCTTATATTGCAAGTACTCCACTTTGACTGTAGGTCATGAGAATTCTATAAACATTTGATAGAGAGATGGACAATATTTAGCATGTGTTCAGAGTACATCCTATAACAATAACTGTTTGAACATACTCATTTCACTGCAGAAATTGGTTTTAGGAAGCTAAGTGCAATTATCTGTGTCATGTTTTCAAATATGCCTGTGGGCTAGGGCTAGAATTCAGTGTAAAATAATATACTGACTGAAAATGGACAGCGTTCAGTATCAATCAAGCTAAACCTAAATTAGAATTTCTCTTTTAATCACATCATACATTCTGTCACACATTATCACAAATAGTACAATAAGTGCCAAGAAAAACTTCATTTGCTTTTATTCTTTCATCTTGTGACATTTTAGCTAATCTTTGTTCAAAATGCATTTTGAACTTCTATATCTTGATGTATATGTAGCACATATTCTCCATTCTCCATTACATTTGGACATCTTATACATCACATAGAGAACTTTTGGCCTGTGAAAAAGCTGCAACAGCTTTTTGTGGTTATGACTAGAAACGGGTATCGTGGTTCTATATGTAATGACCAATATAGGCATCCCTTAATCCAAACCTATCTATAGTATGAATTTGCAAAAGTATTTAGGTTGCCCCAGAGATTCTACAGCATTGTCTTTCTTCCTTTTGATCTTTTGGTAGATGATATTTCAGAAACCTTGGTGGTAAGGCCAAGGTTAATGGTAATACTAGTAATAGCAGTTGCCTGTTTTTTTGTTTTTGCTGAGAATATTATTTGCTTACTAATATGGAGCAGTGCAGTGGCCTAGAAGTGAAGATACTCGCCTCCCACTCAGAAAGTTGAGAGTTCAGTCTTAGCGGCAGATGTTTCTCTATCAAGGTGCAAAGAGAAAATAACTTGCAAACTCCGCGTAGGCAACAGGAAGGGCATCCCGTCAGTAAATGCCCAGCTCCATTCAGTCACCCCAACTCTTATCCTGAATAAAGATATTAAAGGGTCATAGAAAGGAAAAGATTATTTGCTTACTAATATGGAGCAGTGCAGTGGCCTAGAAGTGAAGATACTCGCCTCCCACTCAGAAAGTTGAGAGTTCAGTCTTAGCGGCAGATGTGGTGCAAAGAGAAAATAACTGTTACAAACTCCGCGTAGGCAACAGGAAGGGCATCCCGTCAGTAAATGCTCAGCTCCATTCAGTCACCCCAACTCTTATCCTGAATAAAGATATTAAAGGGTCATAGAAAGGAAAAGATTATTTG